TCTCCGCAGTAGGACATGGCTCTGGGGACGGCAGGAGAGGCTTTGGGTCCGGGGATCGGTCTAAAGGACAGGGAGGAGATCAAAATAACACCCAGCACACCTTGGAGCTGCTGCCCAGCTCCCTCCAGCGAATCCGGCTGAATAACCATCCTAAAAACAAATTTACAGCATCGAAGCGCTTCCGTAGCGAGGCGGGACGAGCAGAGGAGAGAATTTAAAGCCCCGCGCGCTCGAGGAAAAGTCTCTGAATCACTTAGGGGTCCCTAAGTCTGAGATCAGCTCCCCAAATCCACACCTCTCAAACCCCGCAGCAGAGACCCGTTTGTCGCTTGGCAGAGGAACAAAGCTCAGCGCTGAAAAATGAAGATTTAACAGTCAAAAGAGTAAGCCCGGACTTACCTGATCCGCCGAAGAGGGAAAGTTCGGAGATGGAGGTTAAACAGCCTTGAGCTGCGAGTGCTTTTATACAATCCCTGCAAGTGCCCGGAGGGTAAAGGGCCTATTTGTAGGCGATTGTCTCATTTACTTGCAAATCGGATGTTGTGCCTTGGCTCGCTCCTCGCCCGCCGTAATTACCTCTGGAGGGGGGTTGTTCTGCCCCCAAAGGCGATATCCATCGGACGGGTGGTTTGGGCTTCCCCTTGATCACCGGTTGCAGCGACAACGCGGAATCACAAAATCATCTGGGCAGGAAAAGACCTCCCAGGTCATCGAGTCCCACCTTTGGACTCAGCCCCAGCAGAGCTGCGGGGGCCGCGTTAAAAACCCACCCAGGGCAGGTTTAGGGCAGAAATTAGGAGGGAATCCTTCCCTGGGGGAGGAGGGAGGCCCTGGCACAGGTTATTCCAGGGATGCCCCGGCCCTGGAAGTGTCCAAAGCCGGGTTGGAGCAGCCTGGGGGTGGAACGGGATGAGCTTTAAGGTGCTTGGAGCAGCCTGGGGGTGGAACGGGATGAGCTTTAAGGTGCTTGGAGCAGCCCGGGGGTGGAAGGGGACGAGCTTTAAGGCCCCATTCCCTGTTCCCGGGGAACGGCGGTCACGGAGCTCCGGGGGCAGGTCCCTTCTCCAGACACGAACTGTCCCCGTGTTCTCCTCCCGCCCCCCCATTCCTTGGAGATCCATCCCCGCGGGGGCTGCAAAGGTCCCCTCTGACCCTCCCGAGCGGGATAATCCCAGCTCTGACAAATACACCTCCTGCCCTCCGCCTCTGGATGGGGCAGGAGGAAGGAGAATTCCTCTGGGATGGGCAGAACCAGCCCCTGCTGCAACTCCTGCCTCCCTCTGCCCGGTCCCGCCCTGCGCGGCTCCAGCCCTGTACTTTAGGCACGGATTAATTCTGGGGGATGGTTATGAGGGAGCTCCAGGCAACACTTACCTTGTTGTTGTTTTAATTTTTTTTTTTTTTTTTTGCCGCAGAATCAAAGCGCCTCCGTGTGATTAACGTGTTGTAGCTACAGAGCTCGGCTGTAATAACATTAATTACATGTTGTTGCACTTTTGGGTTCTTGATAATGAGTAATAGTTTCACTTCAAAACTTAATCTCCTCGTCCTCCTGGGCAGACACTTCGTGGCTCTGCAGGTCACGGTTGTTTTCTTTGACACAGAAGGCAATTTATTTCCTTTGCTGCACTACAATCAAAGTGTTAAATTCACAGACCTTCTGGTCTTTGTATGGTGTAAATCTGCTCTATCAATTGAAAAATACATAAGAAGATTTCCCTGCATAAAATCTGAGCTTAAGCTGCTAAAAAAAAAAAAAAAAAAAAATTGAAACCAGCCTTGTAGTGGGATAAATTCAGATGCTCTCATTAAACATACACAGCACAAATTCCACAAGCCTTCCTTCTCCAGGGATAGTTTTACTTGTCATTGTGTGAAGAATTTTTGATTCCCCGTGGAAATTGGGAGCCCAGGGATTTATTTACTCTCCAGCTCTGCTTCCAGCTGGAGGATCTGGGGATCAACACGTCGAGCAAGGCATTTAACCCCAAAGTTTTCAAAATCTAAATTGCCCATTTTCTTTGAAAAGCAACGTCGTGTCTCTGGACAGGCTCCAGCACCTCGAGGTCTTCTGAGGGGAGGGAGAGTTGAGTCTCTGGAAGCCCCAAAACAGGCAGCAAACCATAAATCAGTAAAAATAAAGTCCAGGAGGGAGAGAATCCCTTCCACTCTTTGCCACAGTTGAGGCTCCTCTGAGGAATCAGCAGCAGATTTGGGATTAACAATTATGGACTCATTATCTCATTACACAGCCTGTAAATTCCTGTTGGAAGCTCCAGTTGTGTTGGACACCCTGAAGGAGCAGATTCTGCACCAACACGGGCCAGGAGACATTTCCTGAGGGCTTTTCCTTACAAATAACAGCGTGTGGGGTGGCAGGAGGCAGGTTTACAGAACCCCTATAAATGCAACCATCCCAGTTACATTTAACAATTAAGAGGTGCAAGAGCAGCAGAGCTGTTGGGAAACAAAGCTCCTGCTAATCCTGATTTTAGCGGTGCCTTTGTCAACGTTCACCTCCCAGCCTTTCCTCCTCTGGGCAGTGCTTTGGTCTCTGGAGCTTCTGAATCGAGGGGGGAAACAAATGAATAATTTATGGCAGGAAAATGCAACTTCAGGGAGGAGTTTCCAGCAGCTTCGAGGGTGGTTTGCTGGCTGCTGCCAGGGGGAACTGGTGTTATAATGGGGACAATTGTGTTGTTCCTCCAAGCCAGCTCCCCATCCCTGAGCACCTTGGGAAGGGCAGGATGGACCAGCTGGGGAGGGTTTGGGCCCTGGAGCTGAGAAACCAGCTCAGAGACTTTGGGTTTAACTCAGGAACCACCAACTCTAAAGCTTTCAGAGCTTTCAGGGCTTCCAGTCACAACCTCCTTGGGGAAACAGCACCAGTGGGACCTTTGGGGGGGGGATTGGTCACCCCTGGGGTGTCTCCCAGCAGGATTGGGAGGTGACAACTCCCAGAGCTCCCACTCACAATCTCCTTGGGGAAACATCACCAGTGGAACCTTTGGGGGGGATTGGTCACCCCTGGGGTGTCTCCCAGCAGGATTGGGAGGTGCCAACCTGCCCATCTGCAGCCACAGGGGCAGCATCTCCTGCCAGGCCCCTTCTGAGCCAGCCCCAGGCTCTGCCAGGCTCTG